GAGAGGGGTGAGGGGTGGGAAGGCTAGAGGGCAGAGGGTGGTTTTGCATGATTGTAATGGTTAAATGATATGGTGACAGACATGTGGGTGTCTAGGCACATGAGTGCAGTTATATTAATGGGGATGATGATGGCTAACTGTAGATGTTACAAACTGTCAAGTGAACCATGTCAGTTATGAGACAGGTCAGCAAAGATATAGGTGTGAGTGTGTGTGTGTGTGTGTGTGTGTGTGTGTGTGTGTGTGTGTGTGTGTGTAAATAAAAACATATATAAAAGCATATCTATATCTACATATCTATCTCTATCTAGAAAAGATAGATATATAGCTATTATGTATCTATATCTAAGATAGATAGATATGTATTTTCAAAAAAAAAATTAACTTGTACTATATTCAAATAGGTACAGAAGTGCTGCTTAAAAGTGTGTTTATGGAATACCTGTGCTATAACTTCCACCAGTATCAAAAGAGGTAAACTACCTCCATTCTGGATGAGCTAAGTCTATGGGTACCTGTATTAATTTTTTTATATGCAAGTTACTACAGTTATATTTTTTTCTAGGTCAATGTTTTCAAATGTGCTTCTAACTTCCATGTGCTCAGGGAGAGCAGGGTCTGACAGTAAGGAGTGGGGGAAGGAGCTACAGAGGAAAGAAGTTGGGGGCAGAAGGCAAGAGTGCTACATGACCCCCCAGATTTATTTTCCCTGATGTAACAATGGTGGGGGGACAAATTCAAGGGAGACTTCCAATAATTGGATTCTATACCTGGAAAATTATAACAAATTTATAAATGTTCCATATACAGAATCTAATTACTGGGGGGGGGGGGGGGGATCATAATCAGGGTTGTCTTATATTCAAGTAATTACAGTAATTTTTATTTAGAAAAACAGGAGTTTGGGAAAGCAAAACCTCAGAATAATCTGTCATTATTATTAATTTGCCACTGATGTTGCCTTTTAATACATCTGGATGATATAATTACATTAGCTGGAGTTTTATTCTGCAAAATGCCTCAACTCTGTAAAATAGTTCAGGCTCTCCAATGATTAAATCAGGAACCAAAGATGCAATGCCAAATTATATCACAGAATCATAGAAAAGTCTGGTTGGAATGGACCTCAGGAGTCATCTAGTCCAAACCTCTGCTCAAGGCAAAGTCATCCATGACTAAACCTTTCCAGACAAGTATTTGTCTAACCTGCGCTTATAAACTTCCAAGGATGCAAATTCCACAACTATTCTAGATAATCTATTCCAATGTTTAACCAAGCTCATAGTTAGAAAGTTCTTCCTAAAATCCAGCCTAGATTTCCCTTTTTTCAATTTAAGACTGTTATTGCTTGTCATGTCTCTTGCAACCAGAGAGGCTAGGTTGTATCAATTCCTCTTTATAACTCTCAATTCCCCCACTCAGATACTTGAAGACTGTTATCAAATCTCCCTCTCCCATCAGTCTTTTCTTCTTCAGACTAAATAATTACAGTAATTCTATCCCTGAATATTCAAATGCATCTCCCCATGACTTCAATGGTAGTCAACACTCACATTCCAGGGCAGGATTTTGAAATGCTGTAATTATTTGTTTGGCCATATGGTTCTGATTCTTGATGATTTGACTATACCCTCTGGATTACAATCAAAATTACAGTCAAATGGCACGTACAACCCAACTGGAAGGTTCCCACTTGGATGATAAAAGTCTGAGAGGGGCATGAAACCTGAAAACAAAACAGAGTAATCCTCAAAATCTAAAGGTGGATTTCATCATCAAATTAAAAAATAAGGGACTAAAATTAAAATCTAGATGTTTCAAATTTAATACAATATAATTTTCTTGGGCAAAAACTTCTGGCATCTTTCCCTTAAAAGTAATACTATTTCCTATTACATGCTGCTCTTTGAAACAGTTATGCTAGTTCAGCCAACAATAGCAGTTTACTCAGAGAAATCTCAGTTCTTGTTACTCACCAAATAGCAGACTCAGTTATATGTCTATACTGCAAAATCATTCTGAATGTTTATGAGTTTTCTTTCCATATAGATCAGAAATGTCAAACATATGTTTGACAGGCTACAGGAAGGTTGACCATCCATTTTACATGCTTCACTGTGGTTTTACAACAGTGAATTTTAAGTGAAAGTTACCAGTAATACAATTTTTGTAAGTTCCACTTTGAAGTTGTTCCACTCAATTCTGTTTCTGCAAAGCTTGCAGCAGAGTGAAACTTGTCAAAGACCTCAGAAAGTTTCACTGAAAGTTTCTGTTAGGTTTTAAAGTCTAACATTACAGTCTAACAGGAGACAGAGAGGAGAGGTAAGCTCAAGAGATCACTGAGTAAGGGAAGAGACAAGTGGTCTAGTTACTAGACCATTCCCAGCTTTTTTGCTTAATGTCTTTCCCTTGATTTTCCTGCTGCTAGAGTCTAGTAGAGTCTACTAGAGTCTAAGGCTAAGTACAGACAGTCAAAAAGCCCAAGGCTGACTCGATTTAATCTTCACAGGTTAGTCTAAGCTGCATAGGTTGAACCAATAAGCAAGTGAACAGACGGTCACTTTTGATTCTGGAAATGCAACCACATGCCTGCAGGGGCTCAGGCCGGAAGCTGGGGGACTCTAGAGCAGGGGTGTCCAACCTTTTTGAATGTGGGGCCAGATCATGAACTTTTTATCCCCCAGTGGGCTGGCAGGAGCGGGCGCTTGCGCAGCCTGTCCAGTCTGGCCGTGGCCTGGGGGCGCAGGGGTCAAGGGGTGTCACCTGACCCCGCTGTGTCCTCCCTACCACCTGGGCAGCCTTGAGGATGCTCCCACACCTGCACGCCTTGGCTCAGCAGCCAGGAGGACATAGGGGGACTCTACAGGGGGGTATGGGATGTGCAGGGACACCCCCCTGCTCCCTTTCCCCTGGGGCAGCCCGAGCCTGAGCCCA